CTCCCGGTGTGAGCTCCCGGTGCCTGCCGCTGCTCCCAGTGCCCACTCCCGGTGCTCACTGATGCTCCCAGTGCCTGCCACCACCCCCGCTGCCCATTGCCGCTCCCGGTGCCTGCTGCTACTCCCGGTGCCCACCTTCACTCCCAGTGTCCTCCGACCCTCGCAGCATGGGTTTGGTGACCTCCAGGGAGCCGTCGTGGGGCTCAGGGGTGATGCCCAGCAGCTCGCAGAGGAGGGCGTAGACGTTGACGCTTTCGAAGGGCTCCACCACCAGCCCCTTCTTAAAGGCCGGTCCCACGGCACGGAAGATGGTTTTCATGTTCATGTCCTCGTTGTCGAAACCATGCTCCCCTTTATTAAACTGGACCTTGATCCTCTGGAGGGGAGAGTGAGGATGTGAGCACCCCAACCCCTCCACCCCCAGCACGGCCCCGGGGGCAGCAGCACTGCTGGGTGCCCCCGTGTCTCCCACCTCGCACACACTGTTCTGCTCCTGCAGGGTTTGATGGTCTGGTTGGTTCCTTTCGGTTTTGGAAGCTGATCTATTAGTGTTATACTCTGCAGCAGCTGGAGGTGTCCTCAGACACCCTTCCCAAGCAATTACATCCTGCAAGTTGCCTCCCTAAACATCAGCACACCCAAATTTTGTTGTACTGAGGAGCTTCCAATGGGAAGCTGCCTGCTGGCCTTAACATTGGACCTTCCCTTCATACCAGGCTAGGAGAGGATCCTGACACAGAGATTTGCATTCATGCAAGTCCTACCCCAAGGCTTCTGGACACTTTATCTTCTCAACAGCAGAGAAGATCTTTACACAAAGAGCTTGAATTTCAATCTGTTTTTAGGGAGACCAATCAGCACAAAGGCCTAAAGCTGGGTGAGTGCTGGGGTGCTGTGAGAGGAAGAGGAGGAGAGAGGCTCATCCCAAAGGACAGTAGAATATGGCTGTGCATACACCTTACCCCGTGGATCACATATCCTGGGTCGCTGTACAACACGAGTGGGGTGATCCGAGGGTGGTTGGCATAGTGGAATTTCTTCGGAAACTCTTCTTTCTTGTACACGTGCAGGTTCGGGTGGGCGTTTTTCAGGACTGAGTACACATGCTCTAATCTCCCCTCCTTTGGCACCAGGAGTCCGTTTGGTCCGTAATCTAAGAGTTCAAAGTCGATGTCTTGGAACGTGAAGTTGTTTATGGTCCGGATAAGAATCTCGTTGGTCTTTATGACGGTGTCCATGCCGTGGTCAGACGTGATGATGAGGTTGAGGTTTGATTCCAGGTCACTTTCCCGGATACGCTGCCTCAAGTAACCGACGGTTCTGTCCACCTGCTCGATCATGTTTTTCCTCTCTGTGGATTCAGGGCCAAACTTGTGTCCTGAGGAGTCTGGCTCTCCGAAGTAGAGTGCGATGAAGTCGAGGTTGTCCACTGTGAACCATTCCATGACCGTGTCAATGTTCTGCCTCCAGTTGGTTTCGTTGCTGTAGCTGAATATGGCAGGCTCCACCAACTTCTTGTTCACTTCTTCCCCTTGGTATTTTGCTTTTCCTCCAGGGAAGTAGATAGAGCCTGTCTTCAAACCCTGTGAGTGGAGACACTCCATAAACTCCCCTGAACTTGCTTGGCAGTGTCCCTCCATCTGTCAGTGCAGCTACCTCCTAATGAGATTTTTTTGCTCATTGCCAATTAAAAGTGATTAACTGAAGGCACTGCCCTGTCACACTGGTTTTCTCACTGTGTTAGTAACACCAGTTAGAACTTTGGAGTCAGTGACCCATTTGCAGCTTGCATGGGCTCTCTGGTTCTTTATCATCAAGACATTAAGTTGTGTTTTGTTGAAATCAGAGGAGGCATTTTGGCAGGTAAATACGGGCAAAAGGTATATGTCTTGGGCCAGGTCTCAGGTCCTGTCTTAAAGCCAGATTCAAAGCCTGCTGGGCTTGCTGCAGGCCCCAGGGAAGAGGGAACTGGCCCCCAGGGCTGCCACCCCCCTGCCCTGGGTGTGCCCTGAGGTGTATGGAACCCCTGGACTCAGGATGTTCCCTGAGGAACTGGGGCTGAGGCTTCTTTAAACAGGAACAGTATAACCTGTTTCATTAATGTCTTAATAAAGCTGAAATGCATCTATTATTTTTTGCTATTTTTAATAGAACGATCATAATTATTCCTGCCAGTGTCTGGAGATTTCCGTTTTTTGCTGGTCTAATTAGCCTGACATTCTCAGGGAGGCTGGGAACTCACAACCACCAGGGATAATGGCTTGCCTGTAGCTTTTCCTGCAGGATGGCAGGTGGGGTGGGTCTGTGCAGGGTCGGTGTGTGTGAGGAGGTGCCTCACTTGCCTGTCTCTGGGCAGTGATCCAGATGGGCAGGCTGCCGTTGTCCCACCAGCTGCTTATGCCTTGCGTGGTGTAGTAGGGCAGCTTCACACCCGTGGTGGTGTTGAACCACATGTTGTGGACCACCCCGTGGTTCTCCAGGTATCGCCCTGTGGGACAGATGAAGGGCAGGGGGTGAGCCAGGCTGTGCTGGGCAGGTCTCACCCCTCTGCTGGGTGATGGGTTGCCTTGGGTCAGTGGGGACCTTCGGCCTCCCCCTCCCACCTCTCCCTTTGCCCCTTCCTCCCACTGCCTCATACAGAGTGGGGTCCTGGGGCAGGGAAGGAGGTGCTGTGGGAATGCCACCTCCCATGTGCATGGGTTGGTATCTGGTGGGTCTCACCTGGACCAAGCCAGGCACTGGGGCCACCTGCATTTTCTCCTGCCCTCTCAGCACGGGCAGGTTCTGTTATCCCATGTTCACCTAAACCCACGAGGTCAGTGAGCAGGAGAAGTTCCCATCAGAAAGGAGAGATTTGCACTTTGACTCTCATATTTTGTGCTATTTTTATTATAGTGGTGCCAAGGACTGCGCAGTCCCCTCTGCGTGATGTCCCCGTCCTCCCTCGTGTTGACGCTGCCTCCCTGCCTTTGCCTATCAGCAGTTTTCATTAGCATGCTCCACTCTTTTATGCCAAGGTTATTAATTAAAATCTTAAATAAGATTGGCTCCAAAATCGATTCTTCAGGAATTCCCCTGGTGCCCTCCCTCCAGCTTGACAGTCTCCTCTCAGCATCCCCTGCATCCTCTTCCCATAGCCCCTCAGTTCCCCACGTTACAGATTTTGTACTAATCTTCATCTTCTCTGCCTTAACTAATGATTTCCCATGTGGCACTGTATCAAATGCATTACTGAAGTCCTGAGAGATTAAATTTAGAGCATCTCCCTTGTTTAAAAAATAATTTATCTTACCAAAGGAGGCTATCAGGTTGCTCTGGCACTATTTACCTTTGATAAATACAGGTTAAGTTCATGGAATCCCACAGTGGTTTGAGTTGGGAGGGACCTTAAAAACCATCCGATTCCACCTCCCTGCCATGGGCAGGGACACCTTCCACTAGACCAGGCTGCTCCAAGTCTCATTCAACCTGGCCTTGAACACTCCCAGGGATGGGACAGCCACAGCTGCCACAGGGCCTCACCACCCTCACAGGGAAGAAGTTTTTCCTCCTATCTAATTTACATGTACCATTTTTGCAGCCCTTGCCTTTTCTCTGCTCTAAAGCTCTGTGTGCTGCTGGGTTTGGAGCTCCTGACAGCGTGTCCTTCACTGATGCATAAGCCTTGACTTTGCCCTTCCCCAGCCCTCCTTGCAGCTCCTCTGGCTGGGCTACTCACCGGTCAGCAGCGTGAAGTGGCATGGGCTGGTGAGGGTGATGAAGGCAGGAGTCATGTACTTGGCCTTCACCCCTTCTGCAGCCATAGTGTCCAGGTGGGGGGTGTCCACGTCCTGGTCGTAGTTCCACCGAAAACCATCAAAGGACACGAGGAGGAGTTTGCTGCGGTTGGGTGCCTGCTGCAGGGGGATGCACCTTGCTAAGGAGAGGGCAGCAAACAGCAGCCCCAGTGATGGCAGCATCTTCATGCCCTTGAACAGGAATAGCCCAGATGTCTGGAGAGCTCACATTAATATGTGTGGGATGGGACTAAGTTCAGTCCTTATCTAATCTTGCAGTTGCTGATGGGGTGCATGGCTTCAGCCAGCACTTCGTATCAGAGCCTCTCTGGTTGTGTCTCACTGCAGTAGATCGGCTTAAATTTCCTGATGGGTCAAATGCCAAATCTGCCTCTTCCATCAGAGGCAGTGGGTGCTGTGTTGGTGTGCATGAATGGGAAGGATTGCTGGTGTGGTGGGAGGCTGGGAACTGGCCTGCACAGCCCCCCAGGTCCCCACCACCATGTCTCTCAGCCCACTGTGGTGTCCTTTCCCCACTCCTGGCTCTCAGTGCCCTGCCCTGTGCTCAGCAGTTTGGCCTCACAAGGCGACTCACCCCCCCCAGGGCTGCTCGTCCACCTCAGGATGGGGGCTCAGAGGATCAGGGAGGAGCTTGGATTTACCCAGGGTTCTCCAGTGTGGCTTTGTGGAGCTGAACACTGGGGAAGGAGGATCTTCCCTGGATCCCGGCCATGCATCAACTCCCAGAGGTGCTCCAGAGGGTGAGCCCAGCTCTGAAGCCCCTGTATCCCATCAGCCCAGCTCCCACTGCCCGGGCTCTGTTGCTCACCGTGGATGACCCTCATCCACTTACAAACTGCTGAGCTTCACCCTATCAGCATCCCATGTTATCAATATCTGCTGGTTTATGGCTTCTCCGGGGTTTAATCATTGCTGACGACTCATTTCTCAGCAAAACTGAGTTTAAGGCATTTGTAGAGTTATATAACAGAGGTTGCCCTAGTTCTCTGGGCTCTGAACTCCCAACCTTTATGTCTTTGCTGGCGTCCCTTTACTCAGGTCCAGATTTATTCCTGGGTGCTTTGCATCCCCTCCTCGCCAAGCAGAGCCATCTCCACCAGTTTCCCCAACACTGGGTGGGGTCATTTCTGGGTGTTTTTCTCCAAGGCTGAGCTGGGCAGAGGAGTCTCAGGCACATGGGTTCGTCCTTTCTGGATGAATGACAGTCTCTTTGTAGCCCTGAGCATCCTGAGTGTTCCCATCTGGACCAATTCCTCAGGGTGCATCAGCATCTCTTCGCCTGTGTGTGTTTCCCTGGTGTGACACAGGATAATATTTCAAGGGCACTGTGAGTGGTCCAAGCATTCCCACCAGGGACCTCATGGCAAACACCAGCTGGGAGTGCAGCCTTGGACATTCTGTTTGCAGGCAGTGGAAACGCTGGGATGGATCCTGCCCTGTGCCTCGAGCCCTGAGCCAAACCCTTCTGCTAACAGAGGGCATCAGTGTTGGACTGATGGCAGCCCAGCACCTTTCTCTGCCAGCCCAGCACCCCTCTGTGCCAGTCCAGCACCTTTCTCTGCCAGCCCAGCACTCCTCTCTCCAGCCTGACGCTGCTGTTTACTCAAGGAACTATTTTTTATCAGTGCCCTGGGTCCGATATTGTCCTTCATCGAGGACAGAGGCTCCTGGCAGAACTGAGGGTTTAAAGGGCTCACATGATAAAGATATTATCATTTACTAAGCTCTTGGAAATTCCTATATATTCAGTGTGTTGTTCCAAGGTGGGTCACCAGGTCCCTGTGCCACTGCTAACAGCGCGGGAAGGTCCTGATAACGTATCGTGTTCATCGGCTCTGCTGGGAGGGAAGAGATGAGCTAGAAGGAAGCACTGCACTAATCTCCAAGGAATATTTGATATCAGGAGTGTTTCAAAGCACATTTTGCTCTGAGGAGCACGAGGCACTGATAAAGAACATCACCTTTGGCCGTGCTGCCTGGGGACACTGCCAGTCCCACCCAAACCGGCTGATTTGGCACTAAGGATGCCCCAGGAGCTCCTTCCGTGTGTGGATGTGCCCGAGGGGCTGGGGCTGCTCTGGGCCCACCATGTCCCTGCTCAGCATCCTCCAGAGCACGGGCTCCATGCTGACAGCAGTGATCCTGCATCCTTGGAAACACTCCTGAGAACAGGCGTGAACTCTGAGGGCATCACCAGGTATCAGCCTTAGCAGCTCAGTGGGGATCATGGTCCCTGCTAAGCACATTGGGGCTGGCACTGTCCATCCTGCACTTGTGCCCCAATTAACTCCATGAAGACTGATGAAGGGGCTAAAAAATAGAGACCAGGAGCCCAGAGAAGTTACCCACCGGTGGAAGTACCCCACTCAGGGGCCCAGCCTGATTCCAGCCTTTGGAAAAAGCGACGTGCTCAGCACCCCACGGGCAAACACACAGCTCCCTGGGGCGGGTGGACACGTGGGCAGTGCAGGGCAGTGCCAGGGAGCAGTTTGGGCAGGCAGGGGCTGGGCAGGTTTCCTTCTTTATTTTTTCATTTTCAAAGGGATAAACCTCCTGTGCCAGGACCTTGTGGTTAAAGCTGCCCCGTGAGCAGAACAGGAGTGCTGCACCTGGGGGGTCTGGGGTGACGGTGGGGGAGGTTCGTGGAGCTGCTGGGGATGGGATGCACCTGGGACAGCTGCGTGGAGTGATGGGTATCGTAACAGCCCCGAGGTCAGGAGCAGAGCAGCACTGACAGGGCATTGGATGGAACCAGAAGCAGCCCCGGACTTGGCCCGAGCCCTGAAGCAGATGGAGGGAGGAAGGTGCTCCAGCCAAGCAGCTTGGAAAGGTTAGAAAAGAGGAAGGAGGTGGGAGAAGAGGCTTTGAGTGCCGCGGGGGGGGGCTCCTTGGGCAGGATGTGGATGCCGGTACTGGCGGGGAAGAGTTTGGGTCTTATCCCCGGGAAACTGCTCCCTTGTTGCTCCCGAGAGTCCTGGATCTGCGGGAGCCGATGAGGCAGTGCGGTGTCCGTGCAGGTCTGGCCGCAGAGCTGGACCCACTCACCAGCGCGGGGGTGGCTGCAGAGACCCCCCAAATCTCCCGTTTCCTTGAGCCCCTGCAGCAAAGAGCCGGGCGGG